AAAATTTTATGCTATTCTACTCGGTATAACATAAACAAAAAGTAGTTTAATAAAATTTTGTATGTAAGACACAAACCTTGTGTCACGTGCAGTAAAGGATACCCGGGTCAATAGGGTTAAAGCACGTACCTTTCTTTAACGTTACTCTGTTGAATTCTTGTGACCCTTAACTTTCAGCAGTTTGAATTTTATAGTCTTTTATGATTTTGCTTTTTATCTTATACCTCGAAGGATAGACCAAGTACCAGTTAAACTTTGATAACCTCATATCTATCATGAGCATCATAATCACAATCTATCAGATTGTGAACAGCAAGTAAGAGATTAATCATTGGTTATCAACAGCTTTTAAAAACAACAGCATGTGTACCAATGTAAAATCAAGCTATAGAACACTTCACAGAACGAGGTTTTAACTGTAATGTATAGACATAAATATATATATACAAGTAAGCAGAGGAGTCCTCACAAAGAGGTTAATCAATGTAAAATCAAGCTATAGAACACTTCACAGAACGAGGTTTTAACTGTAATGTATAGACATAAATATATATATATAAGTAAGCAGAGTCCTCACAAAGAGGTTAATCAATGTAAAATCAAGCTATAGAACACTTCACAGAACGAAGTTTTAACTGTAATGTATAGACATAAATATATATAAATAAGCAGAGGAGTCCTCACAAAGAGGTTAATCAATGTAAAATCAAGCTATAGAACACTTCACAGAACGAAGTTTTAACTGTAATGTATAGACATAAATATATATAAGTAAGCAGAGTCCTCACAAAGATGTTAAACAAATTTTGAAAAACTGACATTTACAGATACTGTAAAGAATTGTGCTTCAATACAGATATGTACATACAGTAAACAATGGTACTTAGAAAAAGATACACCGTACACACTGTAAACAATGGTGTCTTAGATATAGATACACCGTAAACAATTGTCTTAGATATAGATACACTGTACACAATGGTGTCTTAGATATAGATACACCGTAAACAATTGTGTCTTAGATATAAATACACCATACACACTGTAAACAATGGTGTCTTAGATACAGATACACCGTAAACAATGGTGTCTTAGATACAGATACACCGTAAACAATTGTGTCTTAGATATAGATACACCGTAAACAATTGTGTCTTAGATATAGATACACCATACATACTGTAAACAATGGTGTCTTAGATATAGATACACCATACATACAGTAAACAGTGGTACTTAGATATAGATACACTGTACACACTGGAAACAATTGTCTTAGATATAGATACACTGTACACACTGTAAACAATGGTGTCTTAGATACAGATACACCATACACACTGTAAACAATGGTGTCTTAGATATAGATACACCATACATACAGTAAACAGTGGTACTTAGATGTAGATACACCATACATACAGTGAACAGTGGTACTTAGATATAGATACACTGTACACACTGGAAACAATTGTCTTAGATATAGATACACTGTACAAACTGTAAACAATTGTCTTAGATATAGATACATTGTACACACTGTAAACAATGGTGTCTTAGATATAGATACACCGTACACACTGTAAACAATGGTACTTAGATATAGATACACCATACACACTGTAAACAATGGTACTTAGGCAGAGTTGCACTTGCTGTAAACAATGGTACTTGGATGCCGATACACCATACACACTGTAAACAATGGTACTTAGGCACAGTTACACTTGCTGTAAACAATGGTACTTGGATGCCGATACACCATACACACTGTAAACAATGGTACTTAGGCACAGTTACACTTGCTGTAAACAATGGTACTTGGATGCCGATACATGTATTATAAACAATGAACACGAGACAGTTATACATACTAATTATAATCATACTGAGCATTAGATGATTACATATACATTCAGCTGACAATAAGTTACATAAAACGGCCACCGAAAGAGCTACCTACATGTCTGCCTTCTGGATACACACCATGGCACAAGCAAATCGCTGCAACTCTCCTCCAGACAAGTTTTCAACGTTCCTATCTCGCACATTTTTCAGGTCTATAGAAAGAAGCATTATAGATGGTGATAATGTGAGAAAAATACAGTAAATTACAACCTGATCTTTAGTCTTTAAAGTTACTTACTTAACTATCCCTAGACTGGAAAACTGTCACTCTCACAGTGAAAACATTCCATGAAAATTTCACAAATTAAGATATTACAGAAATATTAAATGAAATTATATGCAGTTTTTAAAGACAAAACTAGAGTTTGGATAAAATTTCTACTGTGAGAAAGACAAAAGATTAAATACTCTAGAAACATCAGTTTACATTCATGACAAGTATGATTACAAATAAGCTCTTACTTTAAAAAATAATTCTTAAGCAACAAAACTTAATAGTTGTGCGAAACTTAAGTTTATACATATACTAAGAAACCACAATACTACAGTTACTCCAGAAAAAGCACACATGTAGAGTAAATAAACACAATACTACAGTTACTCCAGAAAAAGCACACATGTAGAGTAAATAAACACAATACTGCAGTTACTCCAGAAAAAGCACACACGTAGAGTAAATAAACACAATACTGCAGTTACTCCAGAAAAAGCACACACGTAGAGTAAATAAACACAATACTGCAGTTACTCCAGAAAAAGCACACACGTAGAGTAAATAAACACAATACTACAGTTACTCCAGAAAAAACACACATGTAGAGTAAATAAACACAATACTACAGTTACTCCAGAAAAAACACACATGTAGAGTAAATAAACACAATACTACAGTTACTCCAGAAAAAACACACATGTAGAGTAAATAAACACAATACTACAGTTACTCCAGAAAAAACACACATGTAGAGTAAATAAGACCTAATTTGTATTAAAAACATTAGTATATTTTATTGTGCACTTGACAATTCTATTTTAAACTTTGAATTCTTGATCATGTTATTAATATTCAGTTTTTACAACGTTTACTCACCTAACATTTCACAGACAGTATCTTGATTTCTCAGTTCATCCTTTTTGTCAAGTAGTTGTTGCACAGAGCCCTGCGATAACAGAACACTAGGATGAATTGATATTTATTGTATAATGTTTTGGAGTATTTACTATTGGCTATCAAAGGCAACCTCATCCTTATTTAATGTTCATCACAGTTATCAAGATTGTGAACAGCAAAACAATAATAATCACAGATTGCCACCTATTATGGTTCTCATTGCGATGTCGTGTTATACAAAGTTAAAAAATAAATTAAAAATCAAATTTAACTTAAACACAAGAAAAATACACAAACTTTTCTCTAACCCTCAGACCAAAATTTAATAGGAAAGGTTCTAGGTAATCAGTTCACACGCATCGTCGCTGGTGGTGAGAAAAACACAAGCCTAGCCACATGTAATTATATAGACATACACTGTAAATAATTTTTCTAAAATTTTCTAGCCTAAAAACATTATATAATTTTAATGTAAAATAATATTTCGTGAACAAAAATTTAAAACACCACTATCGAAGGTGCCCAACAATGCAAAGCTTAGAAAAATGTTAAAAATGGGGTCACAAGTTAACCCTTTCACCATTTTAAGTCTTTCATCTGAAGCAAACATTAAGTGTCTTCCATTTGATATTTTTTTCATTTATTTTACCGTCACTTAGAATCTTTAATAAGGGCTTGTCTAAGTGACAGTAAAATAAATGACAGTCTTACCAAAATAAATGGCAGTCTTACCATCTTTAATAACGGCTTGTCTAAGTGACGGTAAAATAAATGACAGTCTTACCATCTTTAATAACGGCTTGACTGTCACTTAGACAAGCCCTTATTAAATGTGGTAAGACTGTCATTTATTTTCCTGTCACTCAGACAAGCCGTTATTAAAGATGGTAAGCCTGAAATGGTTGCAAAACTCAATCTTTGGGGAGTTCATCTGAGTTGCAAACTACCAAACTCCTTTCAAATTAGGACACCAGACAGATAGGTCTTTTATAACAACAGAAGCCAGTACAAAACACAAATTTCTTACCTTTACAGCTTTAGGGATTTGGTCCACATACTGAGGTTTGATGATAGCTTTGAGATCATCTTCCAGAATCTTTGTAAAGTAATTCTGTAGTTCTGAGCCTCGGAAGTATGTCAAAATTTCTGTCCAATCAGGAGGAGCCTTTATATGAAGAAACATCCTCGTAACTCAATGCTAACATCAAGATTTGTCTTAATTATTGTAATGGTACCAAGAAAGAAAAACTATTCAAACAACAGCACTTTTAAAAACACTTCAAATAACATCATTATCAAACTACCTTTTAATATATTTTATAAGAATAAAGTGAAAGTATAAGACTGCAAAGCTATCACTGAATTTAGTGATGACAGAATAAAAGATAGTTTATGTTATTGAAATATAGCATACATTGGCTCTCTCCAGGTTAAACAAGATTAAAAATACATGATCCGATTATCAACCGAAGTCTTGTCACGTTTACATCCACAAGAAAAACTTTACTTACATCAAACTTACACTAAATCAGCCTAACTTGTTATAACCCTTAAGATATTTACCTCTGTCAAGTCCTGTCACATTTACATATACACGAAGACTTAAGATTAAAAAATTTTATTTACATTTAAACTTACATTAAATCGACCCAAGTTAGGTTTTAGCTTTCCGGCCAAAATTTTCAGAGCAGTAGATTTTCCAATGCCGTTGGTCCCAACCAAACCCAGGACTTCACCTGGTCGAGGTGTAGGAAGCCTAGACAATATAAAACACCTTCAAACAAACAATCTCATACAAAACTAGGTCAAAGTCAATAATTCTGACAATTTTTTCTACTCTGATTCTAATTAGAAGAATACTATTTGGAATATAAAACGAAATTATTGGCTTGTAAAAAAGGAAGTTATCGGTGTTACATAAAGAATGCCTTCTTTTAAACCAAAAACTGAAAGCTTCAATTCTTTTTTTTTTTAAATATTTGAATAATTATTCTGTGACAATACTAAGTACCCTAAACTTGAGTTCTAAAAGATCACATGCTACAAAAAAAAATGAAAACCAATTAAATAATAATAAGAGATAGTTTCTAGAAAGTCTAAAGGAAGTTTGTGGAATCACAGATTCAGAAAAATCATGACAGCGATGGAATTTATGATACAATAATTTCAAAGTTCACCAAAATACAAAAAATAAAATTAATGAAATTTAAAAAAATATCCAAATGAGAATGATTTTTAATTCAAACCAAAATTAGGTGCTCAAATAGTGATTATTTTTTTGTATATATTTTAAATGATTTTTCTTGTGGTGTAAACAGTCCAGATGTCACTTCGATTCTTGAAGGCAAAGGACGAGTAATCTCACCTATGAAAACTTCTGAATATAACCATGAATACGTCTGTTTTTCCACCAGTGTGATATTAAGCAGTATCTTAATCAACAAAGCTAACTCAAGTTCAATATTCACTACACTACACAATACTTATAACTCAGAATATTACAGTCGGTGACTGAAACTAAAACAACTCTGACAAATACAAGTGTCTGCAATACATAATAAATGTTAGAACATTTCATTGTGCCTCAATTCTACGAACGAAGAAGCTGATAATACTAAATAAGTTCATATATGAGACTAACTAGTGATAAATACTTCCAATCACACTACAAATTAACCAACAGTCAGTTTAAAAATAAATTATAATTAGGACCAAGCATAATGTAGACGAGTGGATCTCGCGTATACACTGTATAGGATGAGTAACAGCAGGATCATTTTTGGCCATATCTGTACAACCCTGATTGCAGAAAATTTTCAGGATGAAACCAATATATAAAACCTGAATTAAAACGTACAGTGGATTTTGTTATTCATATATTTTACAATTAAAATATTTTATAATTCTTATACTATGTTTACTGTAAGTTGAAATTAATTACACAAAATGTCAGAAATAAAATTTACAGGCTCTGGACCAGAGAGTGTTTAAAAATACCAAATAATACTCGGCATATAAACCTATGTTCTTATTAAATATCTACAACATCTAAAAAAGTCAAACAAATCACCTGTGAAGCTTAAATGAGTTCTGATTGTACCGATGTGTGGTGTCCTTTTCTAGGTTGCTGGGCAGATTTATAATAGATATAGCTTCAAAGGGGCATTTCTGTTGGTTGGAAAACATTAGATATGTATTTCTTTATAAAAATATATTATAAAAAAGATTTAGTCTTTATCATCGAGAACAACATGATTGAATAAATTTATTGTATCCCTCGTGGAAAAGTGTTTACTTGATGAAACAGAACTATCTGAATAATACTAAAACCACATTTATACAAGCCATGTATACAGCAGTAAAGCAGTTTTATCATTATAGCCAGTTGCAAAGTTTATTCAAAACACTCGGTGTATAAAAAAAAAACTCACTTGGTTAGGTTACACATAGAATATATTATCACATACATATATATATTTATTTATGTACACACAAAGAAATCTATTATTTTTGTAGTCTTTAACCTTTCCTGCTGGAGGTATCTTAACTTTCAAATTACAGAATTACTTCTATACCATTTGATACAGGTGTCGTCTGTATTAGGTTCGCTATTATAGGTGGGGATCTGTATTAGGTTTGCTATTATAGGTGTCGTCTGTATTAGATTCGCTATTATAGGTGTCGTCTGTATTAGATTCGCTATTATAGGTGTCGTCTGTATTAGATTCGCTATTATAGGTGTCGTCTGTATTAGATTCCCTATTATAGGT